GGGTGTTTATTTTTGTTGCCCGCCGGGTGTTTTTCGGGAAGGGGGCTGGGGGCGCCGGGCGGCTCCTTAGAAAAGGTTTTCCTCGAATATTGCCAAGAGGTCGCTCTGGAAATTCATGTCGATGGTGGCCGCCATCTGTGGGGAGAAACGGGGGGAAAAAAGGGGGAAAAGGGGTTATTTGGGATGGCGGGATGCGGAGGAATGCGGAGGGGASGCGGGGATATTCCCGGTGGCTGGGAAGCCAGCGAGGGCGCCCGGAAAGGCGGGAATTGGGCGCCGAGTGTTGTGTGTCACCGGGTGACAGCCGTAGCTCCCGGTGTTGTCACCATCACCGCGGAAAGGGGATTATTGGGAATTGTGGGATTTGGGATATTCCCGGTGGCTGGGAAGCCAGCGAGGGTGCCCGGAAAGGCGGGAATTGGGCGCCGAGTGTTGCGTGTCACCCGCTGCGTGTGTCATCCGGTGCCGCCGGGTGACATCTGTATCCCTCGGTGGTGTCACCGCCAACACGGAAAAGGGATTATTGGGAATTGTGGGATCCRGGATATTCCCAGTGGCTGGGAAGCCAGCGAGGGCGTCCGGAAAAGCGGGAATTGGGCGCCGAGTGTTGCGCGTCACCCGCCGCCCGTGTCACCCGGCCTGTCACCCCCTGTCACCCGGGGTTGTCACCATCACCGCATCCGCGGAAAAGGGATTATTGGGAATTGTGGGATCCGGAGGAATCCCGATGCGGAGCCGGGAAGCCACCGAGGGCACCCGGAAAGGCGGGAATTGTGCGTGGCGCGTCACCCGGTGTCACCCGCCGCCCCCGGCGTTGTCACCGTCACTCACCGCCTCCCGGCGCCGCCGCTCCTGCTCCCGCTTCCGGGCCATCTCCCGCTGCTGATCCAGCATGGATTGGGAGGAGGGCGCCTGGGAGCTCTGCGCCGGGGCCGCCGCCGGCGCCGCCTGTTGCGCCGGCGCCGCCTGTTGCTGCTGCTGCGGTTGTTGCTGCTGCTGTTGTTGCTGCTGCTGCTGTTGTTGCTGCTGCTCCTGGCGCCGGCGGACCTCCTCGTGCACCCGGCGCGCCTGCTCCAGGGCGTCCTCGTCGTCGCGGCTCCTGGGGGACATGGGGGCATCAGGGGGGCGCCCTGGGGTGGCACCCGGCGCGGGGGCACCCGGCGTGGGGGCAAATGACTTGGTGGCACCCAAGGTGGTTCTATCTCAACGTGGTTTCAACCCAACGTGGTTTCAACCCAACGTGGTTTCAACCCA